GGTGGGGGGTGGGGGGGGGGGGGGGGGGGGGGGGGGGGGGGGGGGGTAGTTCGTCACGTTCACAGAACCCTAGCTGTGGAGGTACCCCCCTCCCTCCCAAAAAAACTGTATAACAGAGTAACGAAACATTAAAATAGCCGTAATTTAATACATTATATTTACAAAGCAAAACGAAGCCAATCTAGATAATGTACCGGATCTGCCAGTGTATATATGAGGTTATAATACGAATACTGACTACTGAAGGTACGATAGTGCCGATTTTGTGTTCACTTTTGAAATTGACCAGATTTTACGACGAAAAAACCAGCTGGAAATAAAAGAATTCTTCACATTTGAGACGCTACCATCTGCGTAAATAAACAAAAACGTCAGGCTAAGAGGTATTGTTTGCCGTTTTTCTGTTGTGTTTTTATCGCTCCCTCCCTCCCTCCCAAAATGTACTTTAAGTAGCTATGCATCTCATCTCAAGAATCGCATCCCCATTTTATCCCCTATATTATTCAATAAGAAGTCAGATTAAAGTTTGTTATCGCCCCAGAACGATTTTTCATTTTGCCGCGCCCTTGCACTGAAGCATCGTTTTACCTTCCGACTTGACAAAACCGGTCCGTAGGCAAGATTTCTGTTGTCTTGATTAATCCCACTAGCTATTTATATGGCGTGTCTTTTTCACTTCCAAATTTACATTCCAAATTTACATTTTCGGTACTAAAAGCAGAACCGCAGTGCTAAATTGAAAGGTTCAGTATTGTAAGTACTAAAATTTTTCATTGATGATGAAGCCAGCTGGCAGTCGTGCTTCACTTTTTATCACGTTGAAATCTCAAGGACGTACCCTTTGTCTGCAACGCTTCTTAATACATGTACCTGCAATTGACTAAAACGCGTATGTACGCGTTCTGTTTTACATCTCGTTTAAACAACACTGTTAAATCAAACAGGTTAATTGACATCGGTGAAGTTCTAGGGTTTTCCTATATACGATGTACAGGGGCGGATCCAGAGATATTTTCTGACAGTCTTCCAAATTATTTTTGTTAATCCATCCTCCATTTTTGACCGTCTTCCGACAGAAAATATTAGATACCCGTCAATGTAAACTTTAAAATCTGACCGTCTTCCGGAAGACCCAGAAGACGGCCTAAATCCGCCCCTGAATGTAAGCTTTGCGTCCTTAGTGTACTCTCCTTCCCCTTTGTCCGTCACGGCCGTCACAAATAATAAGCTTCAAGTGCAGAGGATTGACGGAAATGTTACAAAGAACATATTGTTCAACACTGCAACATGTCTGTAATTGTTAATTGTAATTTTTGCACAGGTAAAACATTTATTGAACATTGATCATTCCCAGGGAAGAAAAGCAAGACCAAAGAATGGGAGTACATCTATAAACCCTCTTCGTAATATCCCTTCTGCTACGTAAGTTTTCAACGCTTCACACGCTATTAAAAGAGAAAGAAGATATGCAGTTACATGTTCCTTAGTTAAAAGTTCAGGCAGCGAAAATCCTTTGCGTTCTCAACATTTTTCAGAAAAAAAATGTAGCATTCCGAAGCCCATACAAACAACACTGTAATATTGAAAGTCCATACCTTTTCTTTATTTGGATTCTCGGTTTTGGATTCTCATTTCGCGTAAAAAATGTCATTTTTGAGCAGGGATATTATGTTCATTGACTCAAGTGGCTATAAGATATACCCTTGGGATAAAAGAAAAGTCTGTCTGCAAAGAAAATGGGAAGATTTCAAACGGTTTCTATATCATGACTTCAGATGAGACGCCATTCATAACGTATCTATACTCCATTTGATGGCACTTTTCCCGTACAATTGACTTACCATTCATGTATCTTAAACCACCCCCCCCCCCAAAAAAAAAAAAAAAAGAGAGAGAGAAAAGAAAAGAAAAAATGAATTAAATAAAGATGATAATAATAATAATAATAAAAGAGAGTTATGAGAGAAAGGGAGAGAATGATATATGATTATTGGTTTATAGTGCCCCAGAGCGCAAAATGGGAGAAAACTCGAGTCATGTAGGGACCTTTTCAATCCATTTTTCATTTTCTTCAGTTAAAATATGCTCGGGACAGACCTATGACATTGTCATTGTTGTTAATACTTAATCACTGAAAACGTTCAATAAAAAGGGAAAACATCCTGTTTTCTAAACGCCTTGGAAGGATATATCACTCGAATGAACTCTCTGCGGTAAACTTGTACAACACCGCCCTCCATTTGTCTGCTTCAAGAAAAAAGTTAAAGAATTAACGTGTAGTGTTATCTTGCAAAGGACACGTACTGGAAAGACGGAGATAAAACAAAATACAAACATGAGTAAGTTTCACGCCCTTGACGCTGGCACTTTCACCTCTCCTACCAGACATATGGAAATGATGAGATTTGAATTGGGCAAATCCGGGGCATGGAAGGCAATAATATCCACATCCGTAGCATCTTTTTATGTTTTTCACTCTTTTTCTCTCTCTTGTAAACCAGTTTTTCAGGTTATCTCTTGCCCCGTGAGACGTAGTAAACACACGCCTCATTGGTGAAAAACAATGTACATTTAGTGTTTCGCTGGTGGTCGTGACCCCATCCGAATACGGTAGACTGCACGAGTGAAAAGCGCCTACAGAAGAAATTAGAATTAATTTTTCGGCGTAACTTTTATATCCGAAAAGATTTAAATAAATCGGGGTGAATACTTTGGCCTGTTTCTTCATGTAACTGTTCATTTCGATCTCTATATTCATTTACTTGTTTATGAATTTATTTATTGGATTGTTTTTTCTTTTCTTTAAAACGTAAGTCTCTCCTCGGGCTTCCCTCTCTTCAGGATTTCCAAAAAATGACGCATATATAGTGTCGACTCGTTTATGATTTTGCCAATACAACCAGGTTGATAAAATTTGCCAGGAGACCAAAGAAAACTACTTTCTTCTAAAATTGTTAAAATATGACCTATGAAGAACGGTCAATGACAAAGCAATGCGTTTTAAGTATAGAAAAGTACCTTTTGAGTTCGGTTAAGTTGAAATAATTTTTTCTTGTTTTAAGTATTTTGTAGTAACAGTGCGTTAGATGAAAAAAATATACAATTACGCGGTTAACCACCATTACCACATCTATATCCTGAAAAGATTTTTTATAATTAAAATCATATTTGTAGCAGTATTTAGTGGAAAAATACAATAACCAATAAGCATAACTTTTTGTCGTCATAAAAGCGGTGGCACGCTCCTAGAATAAACTACGTTTTTAACATTGAAGGTTAAACGTAAACAAGGTCCAACTGCGGAAACCACAACAAGGCGTTTGCTGCATTAAAAGTCATGAAAAGCGATATGAAAACGTCAAATATTTGAGTCATGAGCTTAACTTACATAAAGGGTGTGCGTAAGTTGAAAGTAAGAGAAAAAAGATGGCAACAAAGAAAATGTGCAGTATTTTCTACTCTGCATGAAAAAAAATCTCACCTGTTAAAATCCGGGAAAGAAACCTTAAAGACCCTGCTCCTGTAAAAATACTCACTGACAAGCTTCTTCAGTTAACATCATGTTGTTTCAGTATAAATGCATGTTAACCAATCAGACGAATTCTAGATTAAACACTTAACCGCGAGTGGCGGGAATTTGTACATGACATCTGATCTGGCCGTTGCCATGTGACGAAACGGCGTACAGGCAGTTCAAGTTGGATAGATGCAGGGCGGGGGCATTTGTAGTAAGTAGCAGTGCTACGTACACGCCATTCTCAGAACATAGGTTAGAGGACTTGCAAGCACAGGGGACTTACGCTAGGAATCTGAACCTAATAAGAATCTAATAAGGATTTAGGAGCAAGGTACTTTGCCCGTGCTGTGTGTGTTGTCAGTTACCTTGACGACAGCTCCTCTGCAGTGATTTGGTATCATTACGTTTACACGCTCAGTGAGAATTAGGGAACAGGCACTTGCCGAACTTGCGACGCACAAAGGAAAAGGTAAACGAGTAGCCCAGTGATGAAGATCGGGTGGGCCAATATGGAATTTCTACGCCTACTGGTTGTTGTTTTAGGTAAGTTTATCGAAAACTAATCACACGCACAGATGGAAGATTAAACATAGCAACTGTGTTCTATCAGAAAGGTTTCTGCCGGTGAAACTGACGATCGTTAAAAGGACCTGGCCACCGCATAGACTCACATAGTCAAAAAAAGACCAAGGTGCTTTAAAAGGAACAATCAGTGGAATCCGTGTACTCAAGTTTTTTTGCAAGTTTATTGTGCGTAGAAAAAAATAGGTCACAGGTGTACTTTGATTAATTTCATTTTTTGAAACCAACAAATTTGAACGGCGTGTAGGTCGGTATTTTCCAAATGCCAGTGGTACATGTATTAGTTTTTAATGACAATAAATCACTACATGTACCAGTATTCAAGTATGCTATGCATTTGATTTGCACGTTCTGCAACCAGCAGCAACCCTACAGAGGGGACTGGAACGCACCTACTGTAGTTCATGTATGAATTGTACTCAGTAATTGTTCCTCGGATTGAATCTAATATAACACGCTTTACAAACTGTTTTTCATTTCAACATATCACAAGATTATGTTATGGGCACATGGCCAGACCTGGATGTTTTTTACCCTTTATCTTCCATTGAGAGACCGTGTGCACATGATCTCTTTGAACCCCAGGTGGTATAAAAATCAATTCAACTTTCGTTTTACTCTGCGCTGGCCGTTATTACTCTACCAAGAATGTTCTACAACCTGTAGTGATATAAGTTCAGGAATCAAGTCAGGTCTACCTTTTTTTATGAAAGCTCTGTTACTCATCATGTTCTTAACAATATAATATTATAACACAATAATAATAATAATAATAATAATGATGATGATGATGATGATGAGAAGTACAGACTGCAGAACTTTACGGTCCTGGGATTTAGAATTAATTGTGTTCCTGGTTGTGCTGCCAAATCTGAAGTTTTTATGTGAATATTTGTGGCACTAGTGCAAGTTGCAGAATATCATTGGGTTATTTCCATTGGAAAGTCAAAGTTTTCAAATATCTTTCAAGAAAACGGCGGCATTGATGGATAGGTTGGTTGAGAAGGGGGGTGGGGGGTGGAGAAATTTGAAAATATATTGATTGATTTTTACAGTATGAAGAAGGATGGGGTAGGAAATTGGAGGAAGAAGATATGCAACCCAGTTGAGGTCTTATAAAACTGAAAGAGCATTCAGTTTTTTTTTTTTTGACAAAAACTTAAGCATAACTCCAGTTAAGTATATCTAATATGTCTACACCAAGACCAGTTATCTTAACATAGAGATAGGATGGTCAGTTATCTGGTCAAACCCTGGCCATCACCTGTTCACCTAACAGCTGGGGGTTAGTGGGCCACTGCTAATTAATTGTTCCAATCTGGGGGAAGTAGCCAAGTTAACTGGATTATCTAGCTTATGTTTAGATTAGCAGTATATGATCTCCTTGGATTAATTATGTGGTGGGGATCTGAGGGACCCGGGCAAATAATAGATGAATTGTATCCATGTGCATTGTATCTATCCCCTTTATATGAAAGTGAGAGAGAGAGAAGGGATAGAGAAATGAAAATAATGATACTTTACTGAGATAAAAATTTGTTTGCATATATACATGATAGCCATTCTACTACCATTTAACTGCAAAGGATTGAAAAGACAGAAGACTGTATTAATTTATTACAATAAAATATCACGAAATTGTGCAAAGACAAACTAAAAATGAAAAATGATGAATTATCAAGAGATAAGAATGTTCAGAATGAAACAGCAAGAAAACAAAACAAAAAAGACCTATGTTGAAAGAGGATATAAGAAAAAATTAAAACAGAAAAAAGGTTTTAAAAAGTAGTGAAAAGGGAACTTAAGGAGACAAGTGAAGAAGGAAGGAAAAGGAAATATTATAGAAGTATTAAGTACAAGCGAGTCTGATTGCCTTGCACATGTTCAGTATGACTGTTGATGTTATTTTAGCTTATGTTTTTAACACCCCACCATGATGATAAGTGGATTATTGCCTTTTCCTGGCATGTTGTATTCTTGAAGGCTTGGCTTTGAAAAAGTGATTGGATTTAAAAGTGTTTTAGTGCTCAATAAAGATTATTATTAAGATTACATAAATGTCAGCATATCCCATATTTGATCATTGATATTTTTGACTCTATGCAAACAGAAAACATTTCTTCAGTAATTGCTTATATGTAAGTATACTTGAGATATGAGCCAGTACTTGAGATAATACATGCATAGGACTTCTACATTTTGATCTGAATGTGTTTTATAAACCATTGACATTTCAGGAATGAGAAAAACACAGTGTATTAGGTTGACCTAAATCTGGGCTTGTTTGTACCTAGTTTGGACTTTGCCAGTTCAAGAACCATTGCTTGTTGTACTTGGGTGTGGTCTAGCTGGCAGTTTTCAATCAAAATCATAAATAGCTCCACTATCACAGTTGTGTAAGTGGGTTGCAATCTAGGGATGTAGTATCAGGTGTCACAATAATATATTGACTAAGATGCATGATCATATGGAGCTTTCACCAAATTCAGTGTATCTGCCATGGGTGACTACATCTGATTATTCAGTGATGTAAAGGACCAATTTCATTTATATAGTTTTAACTATTGAAGGCTTATTATTGTTAAAGAAGAGACCTGTTTTCTGTGAGCTATCTTAATTGTTAAGAGACAGCACATGCTTTTCTCTGTTCTCTGTTCTCTCTCTCTCTCCCTTTTCCAAGCCCATCATTGGGTACAGGTAAAGTGCATGGCAATTTTCAAAGAACAGAGAAATAGCAGGGAACTGAAATAACTATAACAATAAACACATAATTACTTGAGGCAGAATGAGAAATGAAAGAAAGAAAAAACCTGTACAGAAATGTTCCTGGGGATATTGTTTCTGTAGAGTAATGGACTACTCCAGGCAGCAAATTGGTTGCTGATGACAGGAAAGAGGTTCAACAAAGGTTGAAATAACAACTGCATGTGCTTGAAATTCACATCAAGTAGGCAAATATTCCCCACTGTATCTGTAAGGGAGAGTTTATATGTTTATTGCTGTAATATGTTGCAATGGGATGGTTGATTATGGTGTATCATACAGGCATTACAGGCAGTTCCAGAGGTGGGATACCTAGATTTAGGTCACAGAAGAAGCAAAATTTTCAGGTCCTCACCATGCACATTTGAATCAGAAAAAGAACAAGTCTTGGTAAAGCTAAGGGCAAGGGATATGTCCCATAGCTCCACTTTGAGTTCTGAAACTATGAAAGTCATTGCCAACAGTGAGCAAGGCCACTTGTTCTCCCAAGTATAATTTTACCCTAAGTGAGAGTGGGTGTGAGTGGTACAGCTATCTTTTCTTGTAATCTTAAGTTTATTTACACAGACACTTATGGGATCTCAAGTTAAGTGCCTATGGAAGCTCTGGTTGAATTTTTACAGGAGAGAGGCCTTGTTAAAAACCAAAAACCAAATTCTGGTTGGTTATAACAAAAAATTAGTTACTTTTAACTTCATTAAAACAGAGACTTGATTACAATCTCTTTTTATATTTAATTAGATTTAAATCTCACAGACACAGAAAGGGAAATCTTCAATGCAACAATAGCATGTTAGAATGAGCTAGATATATATTTTACCCACCATCAGTGAAATAAAAGGTCAGTGAGAGGAAGTGTAGGAGTGAAATGCCAGATTGATGTGGCTTTGGGGTTGCCATGATTCTAGCAAGCATACTGATAACAAGTGACATTCCTTGTGGCTTGGAAAGTTTAAAAGTGATATTACATAACTATTCTTGAAAAGTACCTGTAAAAGGCATGGTTGGTAAATGTTTTTGATGATATGCAAGTTTTTCTAGTGATTAGCGTTACCTTCAGAGAGAGTGGGTGGAGAGAATTTTGTGTGACCAGCTGTGATCAGCTGTAGCAGTGGCGCGTTACAATTTTTACAGTATATAGTTAAGTTCATGTAAAATATCAACCCTAATGTTAATTTCAAATAGTACAATGTAAGAACATCATTTCTGAAAGTATATACTTGATAACTGTTACATGTTCAGATATAACATTGTACTGCGAATGTTTGGTAATTATGGTAAGACCATTGAACTTTCTGACTGAATTAAGATTTCTTGTGGAATGAGGACAATGCAGTGTGAACATAGCCACCTCAGGCTGCACAGCCTTCACCTCTGTCTGATTGTCAAAATATCTGCCTTGGTAACCTGGGTACATGTAGAATAGAAGTCTCTTGTTGACTGACATGTTTACACAAGCAATATGGCCTAGAAATTGCTGTATGCTGTGAATGGGTATACACCCTCAGGAGTGTCTGGTGTGGACTTACAGTGTACATACACATTGACAAAACTTTTGTTCTAAGTTGTCACCCTGAGTTTCAGAGCCTTTTGTGAACACACTTCCAGACCTGTTTTTAGCCAGCAATTCAAAGGCTTGGGGGCGGGTCTTTTTCTGAAAAGATGGACTTTTATTTTCCATTCAAAGGAATGGTTCTTTTGAACCCATTGACTACCTTGCTTACAGGTCTGTACTAGTACCGTGTACCTGTATGACCAACAGCATAGCCCTGTTCCCAGAGCTTTCAGATGATGGTAATTAAGGTTACACATAACATTAATTGGGTTGAAAAGATTCACCACCTGTAGCCTGAGAAATGGTTGGTAATAAATTGATGGAATACTTATTGATTAATCTGTATCAAAATAGAATCTGATTACCTATATATAGTAATGAACAAACTACACATTGAATGCTGAATTGAAAAAAAAACTTTATTTATAGAGATAAATTTCTCCCTGCGTATACAGACACAAATAATACACTTTATTCACAGAAACTTCCTTGTGCTAAACTGCTAATGTGTGTTTTTTCCTACTTACTTGTGAAAAACTTAATTTTTAATTGATATATATGCTAGAGACTTTTCATATTCTGAAGCAGCTGTGGTGAATTGTATGGTATCTGTTTTTCAACCATTAAATCACGAATTGCAGCC